TACAAGAGGAGCTGGAGAAAGAAGAAGAGGAAGAAGAAGAAGTAGAGAAAAAGAGTCATTGGAGAGAAGGAGAGGGGAAACTAGCACAAGCAAAGAAATTGAGATTGCAAGGATTGCACAAGAATGGGCCGCACATTTGGAGTTGGGAGAAGATAGGGAGACCGAAATGGCGATACCCCAGGAAGAGAGAGAAGCAGCAAGGAGGCAGATTGAGACAGAAAGTGACCCGGTGAGGAGAAGGTCGAAGGAGGAAGAACAGCAAATGGCATGGAGATACCGGCTGTCCCAAGAGAGGGTAAGACGATTGGAAGCGGCAGAAAGGGCAGAGAAGGATCTGACAGTGGTAGAGACTAGGATGGGGAAAATCAGGGAAGAGACAGAGATAGCCACTAAGCTCAATACCCTGACTCAAAGTGTAGAATCTTTACTAATTGCACACCACAAACAAGCACAATATATCTGCAGCTTAGAAGCAAAGATAGATGCAATGCCGCCGGGTTCAAAGATTTTGTGAGTGACATGATGAAATACTTATTGGCCGAAGTTCATAATGCAATTAGCAAGACCCGAGAGTTCTGCACTGGCGCCATTGAAGGCGCCAAGTTAGCGGCTCCTAAGGAGGAGGAGCCAGCCCCACCACGCCGCGAGAAAGTCAAGGTCCGTTTCCTGGAGCCCTTCAGTGGAAAGAAGGGTGAGGATTTCGATAACTGGGAGGCCAACGTGCACTCCTACTTGTACTTACAAGGAGTCACGCTTGAGGACCACGTTTTGGTGGCCTTCCAGACCCTTTGAGACGAGGCGACTAGCTTTGCTAGGTCGCTAGCCCACACTGCGAATTGTGATATGATATGGTTACGTATTCGAGACTGACACCTCTCTCTGAGTTCCTGAAATCGCTCAGGGAGCGATTCTCAGACGTGACGCGGGGGCTCAAAGCCTTCGGCAAACTCCAAATGATACACACTCGCCAGTGGAAGAGTGTGCACGCTCTCAAGTCCGCCATGGACGAACCGATTGCGGTCCCTGGGCATGGAGTAACCGATGCCCAGCTTCTTAACCTCTTCTATCGTGCCCTCCCTGAGAACATTCAGGGACATTTCTTCGAGAAAAAGAACCAACAGGGCATGACTTATGATACTCTTAGTCGGGAGGCAGTTGCATTTGCCGCCCAAGCAACGTGGAAGGGACGCACCATCTCGGGCCAAATTAAGGCCGAAGATAGTCTGATAGCAGTGTTTTAAAAAAAAAGAAAAAGAAAAAAAGAAAAAGTGTTGTTGTCGAGTCAACCCCTCTTGCGCACTGCTGATCCGGCTTTGTGATTTGTAGTCGTGACTGATGCTAGTCAACATGGCATTGGAGCAGTGTTGCAGCAAGATGATGGGACTGGGCTTGATCCAATCTACTACATAAGTTGATGCTTGCCCTCTGATCGGCTGGCTACCTCTATGTATGAGAGTGAAGTGTTTGCACCTTGGGCAACCCTACTTTACTGGAAACATTTCCTTCTTTGTCGCTACTTCAAAGTATATTCTTATCATCAGACTTCACTGTGGATCGAGAGTCAACGTTTGTTGTCAGCGATCTGATCTCATTGGTTGGAAGACATCGATCGGATCAACTTCAAGCTAAAAGAGAAGGGGGGTTGCTATAATCGCACTACAGATGCTCTTTCCCATTGCCCTAACATGATGACTGCTATAGTTGGATCCTTGGGTCTTTGCGGCAGCCTCCAACAGTTTATTACAGAAGAAACTATGAAAGAGACCAGATTTGGTCCTATTCTTTCAGAATTGTTGGCAGTTCCCTCGAGGCGGCCTGATTTCTACACACATTTCTTTGGGTTTCTTGTTTTGTGCACATGAAGAAAATGAGCGTTTGTGCGTGCCAGAACCTATTCATTCTAAGGTTCTGGGCTGGTGTCATGACAAAAGTGATCATTTTGGGTTCTTTAAGACCTATGGAAGTTTGTTGCAAATCTATTACGGACCCACTATGAAGGAAGATGCAGGAAAGTTTGTGGGAAGTTGTCTATCTAAGGATTAAGATCATGGTTACCATGCGGACATCCGGATGGCCATCCAGACGGTGTGGAGTCTGGTGTCTGGATGCCGGACAGTTGGAAGCGTGTCTGTGGGGGAGGGGGCTCCTTTTGGCTGGTGGCGCCATCCAAAAAGAGGCCCACACAGGTTCGTTTGTTTTGGTGCGCAGGGCATTTCCAGAGACAGATTAAAATACTGGTATTTTAAGTGTAATGGCCGAATTAGTGGCCTGCTGTCTTACACACACACACACACACACACACACACACACACACACACACACACACACACATTTGCATGTATAAGTTATTTCCTTCTTTTGACTCAAGAAGGATTCTCTCTTGTGTCTAAGTGCTCACCTCTAAGACGTGCCAAATAGTCAATGCCTTTGGCTAGGAGTGCCTGCAACACTACGAGGGGGCTGCTGGGCTTGGGATGCCAGTGTCTATGTGTTCCCTGGGTGATGACAGACGTTCATCAAACTGACTCCCTGGCTCCAATGTTAATCTGAACCTACAGTCTCCGTGGTTGTATTTGTAGTGGAAGTGGTGATGAGCTGCTTTGGTCCGTTGGTTGTGTGGACTGCCTTGTCTGTGCTGTCACCCCCTTGTTACCCATCAGCTTGCCTGGTCTTCCCCGTGCTTCTGCTGGCCTTTTCGTTTGGCTGCCTTGTGCTGTGCTGCCTTGGTGCTCAGTTGCCTTGCTGCCATGAGGCCTGGGCAGCTGTCTTCTCGCCCATCCACTTGCTTGGTCTTTCTGTGCTGCCCCCTTGCCGGCCTTCCTCTTGGGCTGCCTTTTTGGTGATGCCTTGTGCCTTACTGCCTTGCTGCCTTGCTGCCTTGCTGCCAGAGGTCGCAAAACCATGTTTTTCCCTACCCATATCCGACCCAGCCCAAGCATTGATGTGTCATATCTAGCCGGACCCACGTAAACACAATTTTTTTGACCCAGACCCAACCCACCCACACTAATTAATTTTTTTTTCTACCCGTACCCAGCCCACCCAAGGTGATTTAAAAATTGTCTACCCATATCCAGCCACACCCAGGCCAAATTTTCGTTCATCCGCATTCAGCCGCACCCGAACCCAGTATCCATCCACCCGTGCCCAGCCGTACCTGTGCCCAAAATTTTCCACCTAGGCTTAGTTTTTATCTTTATTTTAAACTTAGGCCTTTGCATGTCGGATTCTTTAGCTTCCATCCACAGATCTCCACTTCGAATTTTGGTGGCGGCAATGGGCCAGTGGCTGGGGATACTCACAGTGACACTTTCTTGTCTACAGTTGGCCACAACTACAGCCAGATATCGATGGATCTGACCGCAATTATGGCCGGAGGTTATAAGTGAATGCCGTATTCCCTAAGATGAAACGACTGGGGCCAGGCTGAATTAATAGTACGGTCTGGCCCTAGTACTACCTCATCCGTAAGATGAACCACAGATGGCCAGAGACAAATTTATACTAGGGGCACGCCCCACTAGTACCACTATTTCCCAGTGAAGAAAAACGGTCAGGCCTGGCCCTAATACTGCCTAGGCTTGCCTAATATGCCTAGTATGCCTACAGGCCTCGGGTCACCCGTGCGAAACCCCTACCTAGCCGTACCCGGAACCAGGGCAAACCTTTGCCCGACCGTAACCGTCCAGGCACTATGTCAACACCCAGCCCCACCCAACCTACAGTTTCCTGCCCCGGCCATATCCCCCCCTCATATTTTCAGACCCAGCTTCCCCAGTGCGTACTAATCATGCCATACCCGCACCCGTCCAGAACTGTTGGGTACAGCTGGGTACGGTCGGGCCGGGTCATGGCCACCCAATGTCAACCTCTGCTTGCTGCCTTGCTGTCCTTTTGCGTTGCTACCTGCTGCTTGCCTTATCGTTTGGCTTCCTTGTCAATCCCGCCTGTTGCATCTCACTGCCTTGCCAGTGCTCCCCTGTTGCCTGCTGCTCATATATGCTCCACGACTGCTTGATTTGTAGATTGGCTGCCCACCGGCCTCTACCATGGCCTCCAGACTATGATCCCGGCCGGAAAATGGTTCTGCGCTGGACAATGGCTATGAGCCTATGTGTCACTGCTCAAATTCTGCAGATTGTCGATGCTTAAATCTCCTCATGTAAGCCTGATGAAACAGTTAGTCACTATGCTTGGTGTTCTTTTTCGTACTTTATTGTTTTCAGTCTTGTACTTTTCTGTTTTCTGTCTTCCACCCTTCCAATGTTTATTCCGTTAACTCAAGACCTATGTGAGAATGTATTTGTGCATGTTTTCTTCTGAGAGGTGGTCACCACTGAGTTGTGCTGAAGCTATCAGCAATCTGTTTTCGCCCACTTCATTTCTCGCTCACACACACACACACACACACACACACGCACACACCCACACCCACACACCCACACCCACACACCCACACACACACACACACACACGCACACACAAGCATGCACGCACATTAAGTTTTCTCTTCTTGATTCTTCCATATATCTTCTTCATGCTCTCCATTGTGAGCTAAGTTGCCAACTATACTTCATCTCCATACTCTGTGTTTTCCTTGCCATCCAAGTGATGTCATGCTCTCCATTGTGTGCTCACCATGTTTCTGTTCCTTACTGTGTATTTTCCTTGCCCATCAAGTGATTTCTGGTAAGTGGGACCTTTCCCCCGCTAAAGGACAGACAATCACTAGCACATATATGTTTGATGGAAATGACAAGGTCCCATCTGGCTCAACTCTGTCCCAGTCCGTGCTCATGTGTCTGCAGACAGGTTGTGTGTGCGGAAGGTGTTCGTCAAATGTCCTAGCGCACATGTCCTCCACAATGTGATTGAGAAAAAGGACTGACTGTTTCGAAATAGGTTTATCAAGCTAGATGTAAATCATGTAAATTGGTATAATAAAACTTCAATATTAACGGATGGAAACTCAAATGCCATCCCAGATGGATATTACTCACAGCAATGCAAGAGTGATTGAATGGCATTTCCTGCAGCACGGAACCATCGCCTAGCTTGAAACCACTCCCCAGCGCAGAAGCGTTTGCGCCAGCAGCTGCATTGCAGGTACACATAATATTTAGAAGCAATTTAAGATATGATGAAGAAATGGATTGGAATTTTACACCAAAGAAATTTGCTTGTGTCGTGCATTCAGCAGTGCTAGTGAGGGAGTACAATCCACCCACCGTACAAACTCCCCAACGGGACATAATTCACATACCCTGAGGTCCAGACTTGAAATACTTTCTCTTTCTCAGAGACATACTAAGAAATTTTTCGAAGGAGAAGAGGGGAAAAAATGGCAGATAAATATGACAGGAAAAATGATTCCTAAGCAAACATGACCAACAAGGAAAATACAGACCGTGGAAGGACTCCGATAAATCTCAACAAAATTGAACAAATTAAATTATTCAAAACGTAAGCACATTGATGGCTGGTCAATGCAAGCACATAGTCACCTCATCAACCAATGGGACATGTAGAATGAGTCTGAATGACAAAGGATCAGTTTGCCAGTATAGCCAGAGCAGGACGCTGCCGATCTGTAGCAAGAGGCAAGAGAGTGAGAATGGTAGGGGCCATGTGTCAATTTCGACAAATGGAGGGATTGTATTGACCCAGTTTTTCCCTTCCTCTCTCTATCTCTCTCCCTTCCTCCCTCCTCTCTCTCTCTCTCTCTCTCTCTCTCTCTCTCTCTCTCTCTCTCTCTCTCTCTCTCTCTCTCTCTCATCGAACCGAACTCCCTCTCTCTCTTGCAACGGAGTCCAATCGAAACAGCAAAGCGATCGCGGGCAACAGCAGGTATCGTCGAACCGAGCCACATCGAACCGATCGTCGAACCAAGTCGCGTCGAACCCAGTCGCATCGAACCGAGTCGCGAGTCATCGCCGAACCGAGTCGCATCGAACGGAGTCCCGCTGGCACGTAAATACAAAAAGCGGGCCCCGCGACAACCGTTAGGATCGCCGAGTGGACGGCCCGATAGAACTTTCGCGATTCACCTGGCGCGGACCCCGAAAACTATATAGGGCCGCGGCCTGAAAGACACACACGGTATCAGTTGGGCCCGCCTGCCCGTCTCGACGCGTTTACCAACAACGGTGAGCGGCCTCTCGCAGGACCGTTACGCGAGGAATAGAATGAAATAAATCCAAAATTTTCAAGACAGAGAGATATTCTATTGTTGTCGTGCCCGTTAACAAGCCACGATTTTAGGAAACGTACCGCCCACTACAGGAGCACCCAAATTCATCCGACTAGAAACGTTTCTAGTACTTTCTACTCTATTTCTTTCAACAGCCAATACCTGGCCCAAGTACTGGTGGTTCACTACTTTTTTTTTTTTTTTAAAAGGGAGACGGCCTTGAGATATTATCATTGAGCTGACCGGCCCCAAGCAATTCATTAGTAGTTGGTTTTACTTGTCAAATTCCATCATCTGGATTCGAACACAGTTCTGTATTTCAACAGTTCATGGGTGTACCCACTGAGCTAGGCTCTTGGGTGTTCACTACTTTTCTGCTCATGTCATGACTTTTTTTTTTTTTTTTTTTAATAAATAAACGGGCCCAGTGCTCAAGGCTGATATTACCAATAAGAAGATTGAGGCCGGGGTCCTCACAGTCGACCCCGATATGACAAAGGAATTATGATGTTTCAAGTTTGTCAAATGTTGTTCCTTTTTTTTTTTTTTTTTGACCATTTCTCAACCTATGCATGTCACGCAGGGGCCATGCTAATCTCCTCTGCATGGTTCCAATTTTGACGGATGTCCCTGTGTGTAAAGTAGCATTATGGGTTCGAAAACCACACAAGAAAATGGAGAAATTTTGGGCATTCAATTTTCGAGCAAATTCGACGCAATTATTTAAAAAATCTCATTTTTTAATTTTTAACTAAATTGGGGTTAAACCGGTCAACAGACAGAGCTTCCGGGACGGGCAGAAAGAGGAAAGCTTGCAGCTCAACTGCCCCGTTCTAAACCCCCCACATAGCCCACTTGTCGACGCCCTCCAATAGTTACTGACCAAATGGCCACACCCAAGGTGGGCACGCTTAGTACCCTGTGAACTGCAATCTCCAGACAGAGAGCATTCCATGAGGCTTGCACCGAACTCAGAAACAGAGGAGCAGGGTAAAGTCTGCAGTAGCAACCCTCCTCACATTCCTACTGCCCCACCACCCCCATTCTTGAATATGCCCACATAAACCACCGCACCCCAAACCCTGGTGCAAGCCCAGTCAGGCTGAGTCAGCCGAATCCCCCTTCATCCTGGCACTGAGGATGCTCATGCAATGGATGGGATGGGAGGTGGTCCCATATTCCAGGACACAGGTGATCACTGTGTACTCAGTGACTGGCCTCTACAACACCATGGACTTAAAAAAAAAAAAAAAAAAGGATGCTCATGCAATGCTACTTCGGTAGGGAAAATTTGAACTTTGACCCTTCATGTCTGAACCCCTGCTGACAAGGGTCCCCACTTATCAGGTGGTTCAGGGTATAAGGGAAGGTGGGGACAGCGGGAGGGGTGAGGGCAAGGCTAGGTATGGGATGTGCAGAAACGGCAGGGATAGGGGCGGGTAAGAGGGCCGAGGGGGGGGGAAGAGAAAGAGGGGAGGGGAGGGGAGGAGGGGGGAGAAGAAAGGGGGCAAGGGCATGGATCTGGGAGACAAGTCCAGCACCATTTGAATGCACGAAAAAGGACAATAGAGACAAAGCATCTGGCAGCACACTCTCTGACAATCCACATAAATATACCAGACTTCCCCTTCCCCTGCTTGCTGGCCGTACATGGACTACCTCCATATGGAGGCACTTGTTGCATCTGACGATTCAAACCAACTACCAGCGCCACATGACCAGGATTTTCTGGCAGTGATCCAGGAGGGTGCAGACAGCATTTGTGAAAGGCTTGGAACAATGGAAACTTTGTGAAAGTGCTTCAGGGCTCGGGGGGAGGAGGAGGAGGAGGAGGAGGAGGAGGAGGAGGATAGAAATCCGGCCCCACCTCTCAACTCCACGTCCATGACTGTGTCGCATGTTCACTTTCACCCTTCTTTATAGGACCGTCCACCAGTCTGAGAGATGCTGCTGGTTTAGACAAGGCTGTCAAAGGGTGGTGGTTACAAACAAAGTACTCCCTGGTAAAAGATGGACGCAGGTGGGATAATCATCTTACGGAAGAAGAAAAATGGGGCTGCCTTTTTTTTTTTTTTTTTTTTTTGTAGTACTCGTAGGTCCGTACACACGAGGAGATTGTGTGCTCTCATGGGCATGACATTATCTTGGCTTGTGGAGTTTCATGCCACATTGGTTCATAATAATAAAAGTGGGACCCCACATAAATGCCCAACGGCCCCCAGCGAGCCCAGTTGCGTACGCAATGGAATCCGACTCAGCCACATCCATTCGGCTATTTTTAGCACCTGACAGCTGTTCTTCGATATGTCACATGATAGACAAGTGCAGGTGATGACATCATGATTTTCTGTGGCCCAGTGTAGGTTTCTTGTTTGTCACTGCTAGAGTGTCAAAGGTTGGTCCAGAAAGAAGTACAGACAATAAAAATTGGGAAAAAAAAAAAAAAAAAAAAAAACATGGTCGGTCCAGCGAGAAAGGGAGAAGGGGGAAGAAGCGGGGCCGGAGAAAAGGGGGGCGCAAGGGCAAGTGAAAAGTACATGAAAGGAAATAAGCAAAATTAGAGAGGGTGGGCAGTTTGGAGGCCTCGCGTTCCACCGGCCGAAGCTCTCGCCGCTCCGTAGCGCTAACCTAAAGTAATCATCGCCGCCATCGGGGAACTCAACGCCACGTGGTGGTGTTAGGCGAACCTTTCGCCACGACGATTACCTCGGGTTACGCGAAGAAGACGACGGGAGTTAGACCGGGTGGGAAGGGTGACTGAGGTGCGCGGAGGTGCTATGACGAGAGATTCTTAGCTGTTTGCCCTGCCAACTTGAGCTCGGAAGATGGTCTGTAGTAGCCCACCCTAACTCTATCCTTGGGTGGATAGGGGAATGTCTTACATTCGTAGGGTGGGTTATGTTGGCAGATCCTGTCCAACCTTCTCCGTCATCAGTTCATATCAACAGGTTCGGTTATAAGTCAAAGATATTGTGGAGTCGAAGAGTGGCGGTCTCCAGGGAGTTGTTTACTGGAGTGCCCCTCTTGTAATATCCGGTTGTGTTCTGGAAGGTTTTGTTGGATGCCTGTCGTTGAAGCGGCTTGGGAGTCTACATAGGCTACTTCCATCGGATCAAGAGCCTTTTACAATTAGGCGAGTATTTCGCGACACATCGGTCACGTACACTGTGTAAGTGGACTCTAAACCACGAGCGGTGCCCCCCCCCCCTCGGTTTGACTGGAGGTAGGTTCTCACGATGTGGGATACCGTGGGATGAGGTTTGAACGGTTTTGTACCGTACCCCACCGCGTGCAGTTCTGAGGTCTGTAATATTGGTTTTGGCTGAGATCGTTAATGCATGATAGGGTTTGGGTGGACTATTTTCTGATGCTTGAGCTTCTCCGTTAATTTACGAGAACCCTAGTGTTGTTATTTACGATCGACTTATTTGTAGACCTAGGAGGGATGAGTGATTGACTGGAGCAGTATTGGTAAGGTCAGGGCGGTTTTATTTCGAAATTGTGTGGGCTGAGGTAATTGGGGGACTGATGTTTTAAATTATCTCATTAGTTATTCAGTTGCTGCCGTGGTCGGGTATCATTTTATCCAATTTTAGGCGGAGATGTGTAGGTTGTAACTGCGAATGATATATTCACCAAAGTGGCAAGGATAATTTTCAGGTCAGCCGATGGAGGAAAGCAATCGTCCCGCTCCTCTCTCAGAGGAGGAGAAGACCCGAATGACAAAAGTCATTGAGGAATGCTATAGGTCGGGTGTGTTACCGTCCGGTCTCATTCCGGATGACCAGACTCTTGTGGAAAGATCGGACAACTGTGTTCGTGTTAGAATTGATCCAGCGGTTTTTCTTGCGCAGATGGAATGGTTGACCAAACATGCGGTCACCATATTGTTTGGAGAAAAGAGCGATTCTCTGCCACCAAATCTCAAAAGGAGGCTTGTTAGAATGTATGAGAACAAGTGGGTAGGGATGCCTATGCTAGGCCCGGATCCGAAACGTGGCCTTTTTCATAATGAAGGTCGCAATCTAATCACCTACATCCCAAGCATGGACGCAGTCGCCACGTGGATGCATCAGAAACGAACGGACGATATTGTACAGGACGGGGTTCAATACACACTCCACTTCAGACCTTGGATGTCGGAAGCTGAATTGCAGGATTGGAGGGAGACGATGCGATTCAAATCCTTTTGGATACGAGTTCTCCAGATACCTATTGGGGCCATGCCCCTGATCTATGACGCTGTGAGTCTGGCGTTTGGACGGATCCTCAGAACTGGGCCGATATCTTCAGAGCAAGGGGAACCGGAATTGCTAAACATCCGGTTTGATCTTGAACCCTCGGCCGAATGTAATTTCACACCCTATCTGGGGATAGATCTTCCGGATGATGGGGGTTCGATCGATTTGGAAGTGGTTAACCAATTCACGGATTGGTGCAGCACCTGCCGTTGGTACTATCACACTGAAGACGATCCGGACTGCCCGGCTAGGAAGAAGAGAGCGAAGCAACCGCAATATGGTACTAATTTCGCCCCCCCCCCCTCCCCTCCTCTCCCCTCTCCGGCGGGTAGGAGGGGGGGAAGGGGGAGGCCTCTGGGTCGAGCCCTCCCCCTTGTGGGGAGTGCTTGGGTTCAGAGGCCTACCCCGGCTCCAGCACCATCACAGCATCAAGGAACGGGACAACAAAGTACTAGGACCCAGCCTTCGGAGCCAAGCG